ATCCACACGTTCAAGAGTGGTTGTTACCGGTGTTATAAAACAACTTATTATAAGTTAGAATAATTCGTATTTCTTTATGTTTGTTCTCCTCTAATGGCTACTGGTTCCATTCAAATGTGCTGCAGATGATCCARAAAAGACACAACACCTACTTGCTCTTGATGGAGCTGTGGAAAGACTATCTCTGTTTGAAGCTAACCTGACTGAAGAAGGATCTTTTGAGTCTGCAGTTAATGGCTGTGAATGCCTCTTTCATACAGCATCTCCTGTTTTATTTGCAGTTGATGACCCACAGGTTGTTTTTTCACTATTTTGCTCTCAATGTTCTGTTCCTAAATGTTGGTATAAGTTTTAAACCATGTTGATGAGTTCTAGATTGGTATCTGAATATGCACAGTCACCTGAAGATTTGGTTGATGTTTATGCTTTTATTGTGATTATATTTATGATGGTATCGGCTGAATCGGCTGTGTCTTGAACCTTTGAGATCTCCGTAAGTTGATGGTTCAATCACACCTGTTTATGCAGTCTTTCGCTATGAATTATTCGTCGTATTGTGATTCTGTCACCACCCTCACCAACTGTTTGTAGAAAGCTCAGCTCTTCTCATTTTCCTCCAGGCACAATTGCTAGATCCTGCAGTGAAGGGAACACTTAATGTTCTTAACTCAGCTGCAAAAGTTCCATCTCTCAAGAAAGTGATCTTGACATCTTCCATATCTGCAGTTGTGTTTGGTGCTAAACTTCTGGAGGGTGGTGTTGTGGTGGATGAAACCTGGTTTTCAGATCCAGTAATGTGCAAGCAAAATAAGGTATGGTTGCATAAAACTTGAGTCTGTGGTTCTTTTCTAGCAGTCACACATCAAAATATGCAGTTTTACAACTAAATTTGTGTAAACAGATTGTGTTTACATCATTGCTTGTAGTTTCAAGTCTAAGAATCATTCAGCAAGATTCGGGATTATTATCATTCAGCTACGAATGTTGTAACTAATCGAGGGCTTAATATTTTTCAGTCATGGTATTCTCTTTCGAAGATCCTGGCTGAAGATGTCGCGACCAAATTCTCAAAAGATAACGGTTTGGAGTTGGTGGTAATCAACCCTGGCTACGTGATCGGTCCTTTCTTACAGCCAACTATCAACCATACTTCCAAGGGCATCATAAGCTTGATAAAGTCCGGTAATTTAACATTCATAAGCAAGATCGATCCGAAGGTTGGACCTATGTAGCAGGCCATGTATTCACGTGTAGGAAAAAGTTATTATGCTTAATGGATACCGTAAAAGGATTGGGTAGGGAAAACTTGTTTTGCAGCGTTTGGCATGACTGTAAAATGGGACAGGACAAGACAAGACCTGAGTGAGACAAAAATGCATTTTTTTTTCTATCCCACCAAAATAGGTGGAACTAAAATCCTACACCCTTAAAACGTTCCACAATTCTTTCATCCGCCTACCTCACTCTCACTCGTCCTTTCCCACCCGCTTACCAAATGCACCCATAGGGGACAAGATCTAGGTACGAAGAACGTTTTTCTGGGAACCTCTTCTATAAGTAGCTTAATGCATACAGTTTCTTGAAATTGTTGTCTAGATCAGCATGGCAATGATTTGTTTCATACAATAAAGGAAGTCTTACGTTCATTAAGCTGTTGAAATCGTATATATACAGGAACGGAATTATACCCAGATCCAGATGGAATTTACATTCTTGTTGATGTGAGAGATGTTGCTAACGCACATATATTAGCATTCGAGAACCCAGAAGCTAACGGTAGATACTGCATGGTTGGGGCTGTGACTCACTATTCGGAGATGATGAAGATCTTGGACAAATTCTACCCTGCTCTTGGCCATTCCAAAAGGTAAGTATCTGTTCCCATGATTATATATATATATATATATATATATATATATATATATATAGTTGTTTACTGCGGCTTAACTAGGTTTATTGGTCTATCTGGCTTATTCGTACAGCTCATTTGGGTTGTTTACTTACGGCTTATTCGCACAGAACATGGTTTAATCACACAGATAGAAATGATGTGTTGTCCCCGTTCAGCCACAAAACTAACACCATTCAGCCACAAAACTAACACTCCTACCCCTTATTTAAAACACCGCCTCTTTCCCAGAGGAGACACCCCATCGTCGGCCTCTTTATGATTTTTTTTGTTTTAATGTTCAAATAATTAATATTGGGGGTAAATCGGTCATTTATGTTGATTCAGATAAAAAAAAGTAAACAACACCACCCAATTATCCAGACAGACAAGTTTATCCGAACAGACAAATTTATCCGTACATAACTTAATAAAAAATTTGGTAAAGAGCCCCTAACACATCAATTAAAAGTGGGCACACCTTTAGGGATCTAAGACAGGCTGAACATCAGCGATTGATAAGATAGAATTGGAAATGACAGAACATATAACATGATCACTTCACCCCTAATGAGTTGTTTATATATTTTGATTATTTTATATAGTTTATTAAATTATAATAAAATATATCATGAGAAAGTTTTCATCAAGACGATTAAAATGATACCAAAATAAAAGGTTCATGTAGGCGTATATGATATTTTAGAAGAGAACTATGTTTTATTTTAAGGTTATATTGGTAAAATATAAGTATGTTCCACCTTGTTCAGTGGGTTGGGGGTGAGGTGGAACAAGCCTGTTCCACTCATGGAATATTGATTTCTATGTTATGTTGTTCCATCAAGTGTACCAGACGCACCCTTTAAGACCCCTGAAAAAATTCCATTGGGTCAGGCAGATCTTCTCAAATCCTCCCGGGGTCTGAACCATGTTCGTTTATTATCTTGCATATCAACAAGATAACATGATACATACATGTTTCTTTTTCTCTTTTCGATATGATAATCTTTTCGTTACCAAGAAAGTTAATGTATCTTCTTGGAAACGATTTCGTGTTCATGGTGGTGATGTAACTCGAAATCACGATTATTTATATATTTTTTCCAAATTCCGATAGGTACGAAGAGGGGAAGTGTGTCGTGGCAATGCCTTATGATGTCTCGAGGGCAAAAGCGGAAGGTCTAGGCGTCGATTTTACGCCGCTTGAGGTAAGCATTAAGGACACTGTTGAAAGCCTGAAGGAGAAGAAGTTACTGAGCTTCTAAAACATCAGGTGATGTTCATATGTTTGCTTGAAATAAATGATTGAAGTCTTTATATGTAATTGGACAAGGGCAACCTGCAACTGAGAACTTCTTGTCTATTTTACTGAGAACTTGTTGCTTACTAATAAAATTTAACACTATTATTTACTTACCGAGTAAGATTTTAGTCTACTAAAACGACATTGTATGCAACAATTTACCCGGTAAGCGTTTACCATGGTAAGAGTCGTCGCCCTCACTTATCGGGTAAGACTCTTGGTCTTTGTCTCACTCTTATCGGATAAGATTCTTGGTCCTTACTATATTCATCCGGTGAGGTAATATTACTTGGTAAAAGCTTATCCAGATAAGCGTTTGGTAAGCGCCCCCTAAAACTCTTATTTTTCTCATATTTGATAAGACATTGACCTTTTTGGCTTTCAAAAAGGTTGGGATATAGTAGTTTGGCACGTGATAAGAAAAAAATTGTTTCCATGCCATTGGCCTTTGCATTGAAGGTTAATGAAAGAAATTTTCAATCTTTTTGGAGGCCTTGTTACACCTAAAGCGTTTGATTACACTGTAAAATAAGATAACAGATTATACATATATATATATATGTATATATACAAATTACAGAGTCGATGATGAGACGTATTACTTTTGTCTTTTGATGAAAATTAGAGGCACTGAGGTGGGCCCAAATTTGAGAGTCTCATTCAAAATCGCACATGTAACATGTTAAAAGACAATCATATAAAACGAAAACGCTCACCTCATTTTAGAACCTTCAAATTGCATTTTTCGTCCCTGTAGGTTGCTACAAATTTTGATTTTCGTCCTTGTAGTTGAGGAATTGCGGTTTTCGTCCCTATGATTTATTGTGTCCTTGTGATTTACAATTTATTGTTTGTTTTGGTCCGTATGGATTACAATTCTTTACTGTTTTCGTTCGTTGTACTTAAAAGATAATTTAGTCCAAGAACGAAAATAACAATAAATTACAAGACATATGGACGGAAACATAAACTATTAACAAACCACAGGGACAAAAATCATAATTTACTCTAGTATTTATATACGGCATAGTCACATATTTCTTATTTTTGTTGAGATTTGAACCTTTAACCACAAGAGTGGTGTCTGATTGGTTTAAGCTTGGCTCCAAATGTCAAAAGTACCAGAAGATCCTAGGTTCAAATCCAAGGAGGAACAAAAATCCTCTTGTGGCCACGAAGGTTCAAATGCGGTGACTCCGGGCTATCTGCAAAGCAAGTGGTCGTCCTAAGATTAGTCGGCCCTCATAACGGGTTGGATATTCAGTTAATAAATAAAAAAAAGACTAGAATTTACTGGCTGGTTTTGTTTCGACCAATAACTTATACTTCATCGAGATGCAACGATCGTAGTAGAACTAGAAACAAATGTAATAGAAATACATCATAAATTGACAACAAATCCGGTCGAACAAATAACTGGAAGAATGAAAAAAACAAAACATGGGGTTTGTTAAACAAGAGTACGCAATTTGTAAGACCTAATGCTAATTTCGCGTTTTAGAGACTTCGATATATCAGTTTCTTGACCGTTTATAAAAAGTCCTAATGCTAATTTCGCGTTTTAGAGACTTCGATATATCAGTTTCTTGACCGTTTATAAAAAGTATCCTTCGATCAATCCACTAGCCATGCCACTTCCGCTTTCAGACCAAATGATCATGGAAACGCTCATCTTGATTTCTCGTACGAAACTTTCCCAACAAAAACGTTACGCAAAGGTTCATGTACACCTTCATATACATAAAGCAGCTTTCTTCACTTTATGACCCTTTTTTAGCTCATCCATAGCTTCAGAACTCTATCCCGACCACCCGATGCTACTTTCTCACCATCCGGGCTCCAATCGACCGCGAAAACCTTAACATATGGAGCAAACTTGTTACTTTCTTTATCATATTTGTTTCTCCTGGAAGACCTTTGTTCTTATTACTCGCTCTGTCCCAAAATAAGTATCCACTTTTAAACGTAAATGGCTACTTTCTAATTCTATGCTTAATTTGGGATGGAAATGTTCATTACTCCCTTTATTATTGATAGTAAAATTGTCATTAAGTTAATTAAAAAGTGTAATAATTACATATTTCTAAAACTATGAACTTTTTTTTTAACGTGGACATCTATTTTGGGACGGAAGGAGTAACATTAATTTTCAACTCAAGACGAACGAGAGAGAACTCAAGAACGTACCTCATCTGCATGGCCCGGAAGGTCTTGTTTCAATTTTTGTGTCCGCACATCCCAAACCTAGAAAATATAACACGTTTAAGATGATACCGATTATATAATACATGTGTAAGTGCCCTACATGAATTGTCATCAATTTTACGAGAGGATTGAAGTCGATGCACCAATTTCAGTATAGTGCATGAAGGTAGGGGTGTTCATGGTTCGGTTCAGTTTGGTTAGTAAAGAAAATGTGAATCGAACCGCATGAGACAGATACCCGACTACCCGAACCGAAACCGGACCGTAGGTTGAACCGATCTGCACCAAACTGAACCGTAGGTTGAACCAAAGTAAGGCAATTATCCGCGGTATTGAAGGTGTTTCGGTAATGAAAGTATATGCTATAAAATACTCCCTTTGTCCCAAATAAATGTCCACAATGGAAAAGGCACACAGTTTTAGAAACATATAATTATTACACTTTTTAAAAAAATGAAACAACTTTAACCTTGATAAAAACAAAGAGAGTAATGAATATATCCATCTCATAATTAAGTGTAGAGTCGGAAAGTGGACACTTTTTTTTGGGACAAAATAAAAATAGAAATGTAGACACTTGTTCAGGACCAGAGGAAGTACTAGTTTCTTTTTTACATGTTCCCCGGCACATTTGGCCTCTACAATGGGTCCATGAAAAGTGACACGTCCACATGTACCGGGCAAACTTTATGCCTTTTGGCCTACAAGAGTAGCCCTACATGAGTTGATAGCACTTACGGGAGTATTTGAACATACAATATTTTTGGATATTAAAGGCATCATCAGGATATCTATAAGTATTCAAAGCTTCCTTTGAATAGTATTGCCTTATATAAACTGTTGATGCCTCATTCATGTCAAATCAATACATGCAGATACTACGGCCCAAGAGAACCAAAACAAACCAAAGGGTCATTGGCACAACGGTATTCGGGTTAACGGTAGAGCCCAGCCTCCTAGGAGGTCAAGGGTTCAAACCTCACCAATGTGAGGAGTGTGCATGAGAATTTGCCGTATATAAATATTATATACTTCAAAAAGAAGAAACCTTTCATTTTACCTTCAGCGTGGAGTCCTTGCTACCACTCAAGAGAAGCCTACTGTCAGCAGACCAGCTGAACCAAACCATACAATTCGTGAGAAGCTGAACGTCATTTATATTGATAACATATAAAAGCGAACGCAATTCAAACCTTATCTGATAAACCGGCCCAACATGACCCCGAAAGGCAGCAACAAACTTTCCAGTAATTCCATTCCATAACTTGACAGACTTGTCAAACGAAGCACTTGCGATCCATTGTCCATCAGGCGAAAAGTAAACATGGTTTACCAGCTGTATAAAGCAGAAAGATTCAGACCCAGATTAGGAAGATGCAATCTTCATTAAGAAGATTCAACATTACCCAGATTAGCCAAATGATAGAATGCATAACAAATAAAGTACTGGAACCGTCTCCACTGAAGTGTTGTCTACCAAATAATTGCTTATACAAGAAAATGGCAAACAACATTTTCATGTCACCGGCTGTGTCAACCTTGTCTCTAACATGAAAGGAGAAGAAAATGATTCTAGAATTCAATCTTATGTCATTGCTTTTGCAACGTAGCATATTGAAATAACAGGGAGAATTGTGTTTCATTTCTTATACTCCCTACGTCCAAATGACATGCATAATTATTAGTTTTTAGTTAACCAAATGACAAATTTACCCTTGATTAATATCTCTATCTTATCAAGTCTTAAATATTTGTGCATTAATTAAGGGTAGAACTGGAAACTAAGTTATCTATTTATAAAACTGGACACTTATTTCGGGACAAACAAAAATAGAAATATGGACACTTATTTCAGGACGGAGGGAGTATCATCTTACATGAGTCAAGAAGCCATGTAAACTTCTAAATATTTTCGACCAAACTCTTAATCAGAGTGAATGATACTTGCAAGTAGCCAAGTACTTTGTTCTCAACAACAAAATCAGTTTTTGCATAACACCAGTACCTGTTGATGACCCGTCATTCGAGTTTTGGGGTGTTTGCTGACAGAAGGTTCCCAGAGGAACATGGTGAAATCATCACTACCTGAAACCAACCTCTCGGGAGCATTACCCTTCATCTTGTTGTATCTTTCTAAAGCTGCCTGGTGCAGAAACAACAAGACAAAGAAGTTGTATGAAGAAAAGGTTATAATAGGAAGCAAGAGAAGACTAAAGATAGACATTGAAAGGTAGCTGTAAAGTTTGTCTTCTACGTCTGTGTGTGGTAAGTGGGATATGTTCTTACATGTGTACGCATGTGTGCCATTTGCCACAAGTATGTAAAGTCGAGAAATTATTTGAATGTTTAGGCATATTACTCGATGTTGGTATGCAATTTTGGCCACATAATGTTTACAACAAGCAAATCATATGAATTTTCAATTACTATTACTGCATCACACTACTTTCTGCATTTGATCCCCTCTTTTCTTCCACTCCATCCTGAGTAGTCTTATTCGGCCAAGAACTTTAGGTACAATATATTTCTCATAATTATATCCTATTGGGGACACTTAAACCTACCCGTTGGGCTGTTCTTTTGATTATACTTATAGTATCACACTTACATCTTAGCAGTTGCATCTTATTGGATTATTTGAACACTTTGTTTCGTGCATCTTTCTTGCCAAAGATGCCATAACAGAGTAACATCTGGCTAAATAATCGCCTTATCAGAAATCTGTTAACCATAGAGCTATATGTCAATGAATTAAACTCCAGCAAAACCTGATTAAGTTTACTCATTAACATCAACTGAAGGCTTCCTATATTCATCCTATATAGCTGACTTAAAAATCTAATGTCATCTCTTTATCATTGAGCTTAAAATGCATGTGTGGCCTGTGTCCTTTATGTAATTAATCCTCCTGATTCCAGGACTTCTATGTAAAATTGTACTATTTGATTCCCGGACTAAGATGCAACACGATTTGTTTTCCTCTTCTTAAAGGAATCACATGTATCTATACTTGTAACTAAGCAATTACCATTTCGGATGGAGGAATGATGAAACAATCCTTTCTGGCCCTTGTTGCTTTGACCCCTTACGCTGTGTTGTCAAATTTGGAGAGAAAATAAGAGAAAGGGAAGGAAAAGAAAGGAAAGGGAAACAATTTTTTTATTTGTGTTCTCGGAAGGGAAGGAAACGGAAAAAATTTGTGTTCTTGAAGAGGATAGAAAGGAAGGGAAAGATGTTTTTACTAATATAACCTTTAAAATATATTTTTTAAAATGAAAGATTGGGTAGTTTTGTAATTTTAATAATTTTTTAAAGGGTTTTAATTTCTTTCCTTTCCATTCCTTTCCCTTTCCTCTCACATTTAGGAGGAAACTTGTCATTAATTTCCTTTTGTTTCCTTTCATTTCTCTCCTTAAAAAGTTTCAAGAACAAACACGAGTTTTTTTTTACTTTCCTCCCCTTTCCCCCTCTTTCCTTCCTTCTCCTTCGTAAAAAAGGTTTCGAGAACACAGCATTAAGTCTTTAGATGGCAATTAACAGTCATGTTTGACTCTTTTGCTTGTTGGTACACTTCTTTGGTCCCTTCATTTTTACTGTTGCTGGTGACCATAGACTGACCATGGGTGATGCCAGTCTTAACAGTATTGAATTTTTTTGGGATATCCCACACTGGGAATTGTTACCTTTGTGTTGGGACAAGACAACAAATATCATGTGCAGTGACTTGTTCCCTTGTAACTCTTGTGTCAATCCTCATGCTGATAAATCATAAATGGGGACTAAGGGCCTGTTTGTTAGCAGCTTAATGAGCTTAATGCGCTCAATGAGACTCACAGCTTATTCGGTCAGCTATACATGACTGTTTCGTAGTGGCTTAATGATATAGAAAGTCGCTTATTCAATAAGCTTTCAGGGGCTGAGCTTTAGGCAAAAAGCCAAGGTTTTTTTCCAAAACTGAATCTCCCAATTAAAAAGCACACTCCTTCTATCTATGAAAAACCTCCCAAATAAAAACCTTCACAATCTATATAGACAGATAATTCACACAGACAGCTTTATCCATATAGGACTTAATTAAAAACCAACCCAACTGCCCCTAAGTAGTGGAAGTGGTGATAAATCAATATTGACATTTACAAATGAAAACAGTTGCCTACTTACCTCCTTCATCTCTTCTGGAGATGAGTATTGTTTACGCGTATGATCAAAAGCTCCAGTGCGAAGAACATACTCGGTACTTAATGCCAAAGAATTCACCCAATGTCCGTGACCCTGTTTTTTGAATTAGAAAACATAAGAGATGATGAACAATACAGACTAACATCATGCAGGATCTGTAATGGTAAATAAGGCAACTAATACATGTATAATTAGAAACTTAAATGAATTAGTTGGATGTACTTTACTTGGAGAATGAAGTAATAGAAAAACTTGACTCCATTCAACCTAACTTCATTCGATAGCAGCAGCATGAAGACAAGCTTTAGATGGACGCAGGCCAGCTAGTTCGGGTTCAAACTGACTACTTTGTTAATTTAGAATTCATGTGGATTCTAGATTGTTCCATACCATTATAAAACATCTATACAAGTACTACAATGGAAAAATATCAACTATTACCTCATTTTCCAAGCATTACTTCTGGCATTTATATTCTCATTGTTGCTCTTTTCTTAGTTTTTGATTTTTATCTTTTTAATATATATATAGGAATGGAGCACGAATAACATGACAATCTTCAGGTTCTTTCTTCTAGATATGGTATCTAGGTAGCATTTGGTATGCACAAATAAATAGAACATTAGGATGTAATCTGAAAAATGCAACGGAATGGACCATTTCTCCACATATGTGATCCCTTTAATGTGGTTGATTTTGATTCCTTTGGGAAGGGGTGTTTTCTTTCCCTTCCATCATGGAATGGAATTAAAAGTTACTACGAAACCCACATTTTTTCCTTCTGTCATCTTTGATAACACCACTTCCTATAAAAAGTTTCAAAATTCATTTAGAAATATTTTATCCTTATTGGGTTGAGCCATATATGTGAAAGAGTATACAATAATGATGTATTTGCTGAATCAAATACCATGGTCTAATAATCAAGCATTCTGATTAGTTGATGATTTTACTATCAGTTGGAAAAAAATTCAAAAATAGCTACAAAATATATTTTTTAATTATAACTTTATTTGAGATTTTCTTGATCTTTTTTGTGAGGAACGTTGTATTGTTGTAAATAAAAAATTCAACAATTTTATTAAATTATGTACTAACCAAATGTAAAATCATACATCTTTAATCTTAAAGAAAAATAAGAGTACAAACATTAATTTTTATCTTTTTTTAAATTTGCCATGGTTGATGATAAATCAAAAGAAAATACGACGACAAAGAAAATATCATACTTATAAGCACATTTTATAATCATTTATCATGATTCAGAAGACATTCAATTTCAGAAAGAAAGGAAAACTTAGAAGTGCTATAATTCTTCTTTTTGATGATTTATTGAATATCTAAAATATATTTCAAATAAACATATAATACTTCTATGTGCAATACAATTTTTCTTTCAGAACTGAATCATAATTGATCGACATTAAAGAAAATTATTTATCATTTAACAAATTTAATTCATTCCGGTTGTCTATTTATTGATACCAAACAACATACTTGAATAACTATTTACATTCCTAACGGCCAACCAAACATGATAATGGAACGTAATGGCTTATTCCATTCATTTGTCCTTCTATTCCCTTGTTAGATCTCAAAGCTTTTCAACTAAGGGTTCCTATATAACACATCAGAAAGTAAGACCTCCAGCTAGAAGCAGCATGACAACAGAAGAGACTAATAATGAGCCCAAGAACTTCTCAGAAGGTCTAAAAGAATGTGCTTTCTACGAGAAACAACTTCGATCATACCAAATAAATTTTAGGATTGAGAAAGTCAAAGTGCTTTTCCTGAAACAGGATATAGGCAGAAAGAAAGGATTGCACCGGTCAAGTCATAAAAACAGCATTATGCCTATTATCCAAACTAGTTGAATAGGATGAAACTGAGATGTACTCAATAACAAATATCAAATGATAATAACAAATGACAGAGTAGAAGCAGGAGCTGGGTACTTCTAAATAAAGCAGAAATCACTTGAGGTGGGGAGAGTTTAAGAAGGGAGTGTAGTTATACCTTCAATTCACGAATCAACTTTCCCTGAGTGGTTTCCCATACTTTGATTGTACAGTCCTGAGATCTGCAGCATGTAGAAACGCTGTATTTAAGTGTTGTTCTACATTGTAATTTTCACTCACCAGTATTCATGTACATAAAGTGAGAGGCATTCATTCCCATGCCGCGTAACGGATAATGCTAAATTACCCAGACGAGAGTGCATGAGTATTAGCGGGGGTTATACACAATAACCATAAGATAGCAGACATAGTCTGATATTCGAAAACGAGCCATCTACTGTATTAACTAATTGACATTCACAGCAGTCTCAGCAATATTCAGCATGCCAAGGCTTCGTGCAAGAGATTAAAGTATCCCACTTTTCAATACATTTAATGTTCTTAAATAAGAATTCTGCACTCTGATGGTAGATTTTTCAGGTATGACAATGCCAGAGGGATTCCCAAACAAAATGATAACTGATAGAACCATAGCAAAATTTATATATCTAAAATGGAGATTTATGGCAGATGGTGGTTTCTAATGGACTACAAATGAAGCATTTGATAGATCAAATATAAGTTGCCTATTTGTGTTCGTATATAGAAGGCTACACCTAGAAAGCTAGAATAAACTTTTAAAATGTAGTTATCCATACTATAGGCTAACAGTTCTCCCCAAACGTAGACAAACTGAATTTGACGAGATATTCTTACTAGAAAATTATTTGAACAGATCTAGTGGACCGTAACAAGGTTATAGAAGGCAAAATCAAGCCTCGAGGTGTTTTCCCTCAATGAGGCGAGGCGGAAATATATATACACCAAAATATGTATATATACTACACAAATATATATACAATATATAATACTAAATTACTAAAGGCGTTGTTCAGTGGTTCTTGATGAAGGAAAGAATGAAACCGTGAGATAGGCTGAGAGGGTGTGGAAAACATGGTTGCTTGGAGGAAGAGCATGCTTTTTGATTGACAGTAGAAAGTACTACCTTTTGGGTTATATTAAAAGTACACATGGGGGCCATTGGGCTTTGACTTGTACTATAAGAGAAGTACTACTATTGCCATAAAGCTTATAGAAAGAGCCAAAAAGAACCATCACCAAAGCAGATCATCTGAGGCGTACACCTCGACACTGCCACTCGCCTCACCGAACCAGGCGTAAGCCTCGCCCAGGGTCCAAGAGGCGCCGCCTCATGTGCAGTTCTGGGTCGCCTCGCCTCTTGAGGCTACGCCTCAAACCATTTTTGAAACCATGGATCTTAATATTGTACGACATTTGTGTTTACACATGTAAGAAAAATTGCTTGTATCAGCCGCTATATGGTGCTTGTGGAAGCTCTATGCCACACACAAGCCCATGGTAGGTCCACCCAATGGGCCCATGCAAATGGGATAGGGCTTTCATGAGCACTATTCATCACGTGGCGACTGCCAAACTAGACTATACATATGTGAATGTAAGTATGAGTATTTATTCATTTATGGGAACAAACACATGGCAGTAACAAATGAGACTGGTTCGCTTAGGAATTGGAAGAAAGCATATCATTCTAATTTGGAACAAGATATACCCTGTGTAGATGACACCATCTCCACCCCACTTCACACAAGTTACTGCAAGAGTGTGGCCACTAAGAATGATAACAGTTTTCCTCAATGTAACGTCCCATATTCGTGCATCACCATCTTTGCTAGAGGATACAAAACGACGGCATGGAGCTTTGAGATGTGCTGGTTCCCAGGAAATACCAGTAATCCATTTCTTGTGACCCTGAAATGTTGTAAATGCAAGTTTATAAATCGAGAGGAATCTATAACTTGAGAGGATACATAGGGGCCTGTTTGTTAGCAGCTTAATGAGCTTCATGGGACTCGCAGCTTATTCAGTCAGCTATACGTGATTGTTTGGCAATGGATTAATGATACAGAATGTGGCTTATTCAGTAAGCTTCTAGGGGAGAGCTTTATGCAGAAAGCCAAGTTGTTTCCAAACCTGCCCCTCCTATTTAAAAAACATGCTCCTTCCGTCTATGAAAAAACCCTCCCAAACAAAAACCTTTCCAATCTATACAGACATATTAATCCACACAGACAACTTTATCCTTACAGGACTTGATGGAAAACCAACCAAACATGATAAATCTAATGTTATATGGGAAATGGTTTGCTAAGCATTACTCAGCTCTGACAGCAAGACATGATAAATCTTTGTACAGATAAAGTGAACTCCTAAACTAATGTTATATGGGAAATGGTTTGCTAAGCATCCTGTCAACTGAAAAGTCCAATACCAGCAACATAACTAGTACAGTACTCCCACACAAAATCATACTAAAATAAACCTTTCGATTGATGGAAAAAGTAATAGCAAACGACATGTATGTACCAGCAAAAATACTAAACAAGACAGGAAATGAGACTATAAGTGTGGCATGCTTAGAAAGAGAAAATGTGATAAGTGCAAATATATACATTTTTACGTCAAAATTACCTTGAGATTAATGTCAATTAGATGCCTAAAATGTCCATTTTAGTTTAAAATGATATTTAATCTTATAAGGTCATTAAAGTTGAGAAATATATTGATTATGTGTTTGTTTTTTCTTTGGCCCAAACAGCAGCCCAAAAGCAAAGCCATAGTCCCATAAAAACAGCCCGTGTAAAAGGAAAAGAAGAGAAGGCAGCAGCCTTGTCGGTCCGAAGAGGAGAAGCAGAGCGAGAGAGAGATCGTGCAGCAGCAGAACGTGGGCAGCACATCGTGGTCGTGACGGTGTCGGCCAAGAGGAAACAGCAAAAATGGAGCAGCAGAAATCAAAGGGGGCTGTCGATTGGAGAAGGAGAGTCGGTCGAGAGGGGGCTGTCATTTTAAGAAAGGAAATCGAGAGCAGCGGAGGAGGGCTGTCATCGAGCAGTGAAGAAGAATACAGCAGGTCTCGAGAGAGAAGGGGACAATATACAAGGACTGTTCGATTGGAGAAGGTAGCAGCCGGGAGAAAGAAATCGAGCAGGGAGGCTGTCGATCGAAAGGGGGCTGCTCGATTTGGATTAAAAGCCGAGAGCAGAAAGACAGAAGCTGTCGATTTAGAAGAATAGAAAAGGGACAGCAGGTGTCGATATAGAATCAGCAGCCGAGATTGGAAGAGAAGAAGCTTCGATCAGACAGCAGATTAGCGAGGACAGCAGGTATTCGGAGGAGCAGAATTCGAGACGGGTACTAGAGGATTAGTCGAGATTTTACAAAAGATTGATCAGGACTGGATTCTTGAAGAAACAGTAAGCTTATTTCCAGATTTTGAAGATAAATTTCAGGTTTCTTCACCAATTCTTAAATTTCAATCATTTTGTAAATTCTTTTTAGTTCTAGACAT